GTGGTCAGTTGGTTAAGTGTCTTACTCTTGATTTCGACTCGGGTCATGATCTCCGGGTTGTGATCTCAGGGCTGTGAGACAGAGCCCCTTGTTGGGCTCCCCACCGGGCAGGGAGCTCTGTCTCCCTCTCCCTCTGCCCCTCCCCCCGCAAAAAAGCCAAATCCAATTTGAGCCCCCACCTATCTGATTCCAAAGCCAGGGTCTTTGGACTATGTACACACCACCACGGAGTGAGGGGTTTTGAGGGGTATGAGACCTGTCCAACTTTAATTTTTCTCTATCTCAAGCCTGGAAGAGGGCCAATTATCCTTTTCAAATGAAAACTTCCTCCACTACTGTCTTTTTCCTGGATTAAATATCACTGCTAGGGGCCATTAACTCCTAAAGATCCCTGAGAGAAGGCCCAGTGCCCCCCTGAGTTGGGCAGAGGGAGGATGGGATGATGCATGGTGGTGGGTGGAGAGGGAAACAGGGCAGGACCAAGGCTAGGACCGGTATGGGAAGGCCACAGAAGACCAAAAGGAATAGATGGGAAAGGAGGGGATATGAGAGACAGACTTTGCCTCCTTCTTCGTGCCACCCAGGATCAGCCCCACTGGCTCCCTGAACCTTATCCTAGCCCACGTCGGAGCCCCTGAGAACCTGGGTGTATGAGACCATCAATACATCCTAAATCATGGAAGCTTGAAATGATCAGATCTTAGAGCCTGGGTGTATGAGACCATCAGTACATCCTAAATCATGGAGGCTTGAAATGATCAGATCTTAGAGCCACAAAATTGTACAGTTCTAGAAGCTTTCATGTTCTCATGAAATGTAGGCTCTTGGAAGCACAGAATTCTCAAATCTTGAATCTTAGAAACTTAGAGTCTTGGAGTCTTAGAATTGTGAAATCATGGATTCATAAGCACTATCTGTGCAGAAACCTTTGGAGATCAAAGTTCACCTTCGCCCTTATTTTGCAGAGGAGAAACTGAGGCTCAGAGAAGGAAGAGTCTTCCTCATTGTCACAGAGTGAATTCGTGGCATAAGGAGCTACAGCTCCTTCCACCAGCCATTAGCAAGGATAGAGGCTGATGCCAGGACTGCAGGGATGGAGGCGGCTGCGGCCTGGCCCTTCCTCCCTCTGCCTGGCGTTGGCATGGCCTTGGACCCTCACTTCCCTGGTGTAAGGGGGAGCCCCAGGCAATGCCACCCTTCCTTGTGCCTCTCACCTTGGAGGGCGTGGTAGGCTGGGGTTGTGGCCGCAGGAGGCCTCCTGGGGTCGCGGGACCAGCCTGCCAGGCCCCCCATGTTCTCAGCGGCTGCCAGGTCTGTTGGTGGGGCGGCCTGGGCATGGGCTGAGACATTTTCTCTGTCTCCATGCTCTGAGCAGGCAGTGAGGGGGAGGGGTGCCAACTGGCACGGGAGCCAGGCTGCGGGGCCGCCCCAAGGAAGGTGGGAGAGGGTTTCTTCAGCAACAAGGCAGAGACCTAAGGCCGCCCGGTAGTGTCGCAATCGATCCTTCCCTGGTGGGGGGAGGGGACTGAGGAAGAAAGACATTATTCAGTCCTTGGAGAGTTGGGCTGGCTCTGACAAGCACCCCAGCTGGGGCTGTGTCCCGCCCTCTCAGCCAGCAGAGGCCGAGAGATAAACACAGCTCATTTGATACGGGCCAGCCGGGGGGCCTTGCTGGGAAAGGGATCTGCTGTCCGATCCCCCCCCCTCTACTTTGGGGAGCTGGGGAGGGGGCGGGGAGGGAGCTCAGCCGTGTGCTCCTAGGGTCCCCAGGAAGCACAGACTCTGGAGGCATCATGACTGCGGCCTCAAGTCTTTGTTCTGGGAGGCCCGAGAGGCTGAGCAGGAGCAGTGCAAAGAGCCAGGGGCAGGCCAGTTTCAGCTTCTTACAGGGGAAACTTTCTAAAGGTGAGGACTGGCCCTGAGCTCCTCTCCTTTGGAGGCGTGTGTCGGACGGTACCCCAGCCCACCCCCCAACACTGAGAGGGAATTCCTGCCCTGCTGTCCTGCTAGTGTGTGGCTTTCAGTTCTCTGCGATTCTATGAGTTCAAATGTCAAAGAGAAAGACCTAGAAAGCAGGCAGGAGGAAGTGTGAAAGGCAACCTCTAGATTCTAGAGGTCTAGGGGACGAGGAAAAAAAATAGGGAATAGGGTATGGTGGCCGCTGAGGCAGAGAGTGGAGCCCCTAGGCCCTGGGATCGGGCACAAAGCCATGGAGAAGGGAGGTGAACTGCAAGGAGCTATGCCCGGGAGTGGAGTCCTGGGTTCCAATCGCCAGGTGGATGGCCTAGGCAAGTCACTCAGGTGCTGGATCCTCGGTTTTTCCATCTCCTTTTCTCTTAATGATGGTAACGATCCCAATAACCCAGCTTAGAGGGACTGGATCACCTATTCAAGATGACCCATCTTGCAGGGTCATTGTTACCACAATTATCATAATAATAGCATTCAACAAGTGTCAGGAACTGGGCTAAGTAAGTAAGCATTTGACAAGCATTATCCAATTTCATGCTCAAAACAATAATGTCAATGGGGTAATTAAGTAATTTATGTAAAGAGAAGATAGTAAATGTTGGCTCCTTTTTCCATAGCTCAATCTCATTTAATTCCATAAACCTTTGTGGACACTTAGCTTGTGCTGGGCACCTCATTTCCACCCTAGAAGAGCTCAGCTTATTCTTTAGGTAATGTAGAGTTTTCCTGTAAGAATGACAGCATCCCTTCTGGCTTGTAAAAATCACCCACTACCTGTGAGGAGCAAGGGTGGCAGGGATAGGGCCAGAGGCGGGAGGATGGGGCGCGGGGCTGGAAGCCCGACCCGGAGCCCTGAGCCAGGGCTAGGTGGTGGTCCAGTAAGAGGGGAGGGGGAGGGCAGGCTGGGCGGCTGATGGGGTGTGAGAAGGGAGAGAGAGGTGGTTTCAGGAAAGCAGGCTTGCAGGAGAGGTATCTAACCTAATGAAACAAACTTCCCTCATTCTTAAAGCATTCCCTTGCATATTGACAACTGAAACGCAGGTCACAAAAATAGCCAATTGATGTGCAGTCATAGTAGTAGCATTGACTATATTAAGGATATTTAAAAGTCAGCTTTCTAAGAACCCTTCCCTAGGCAGCCCTTGTTTTCCCCATTTAAACCCTTTCATCACAGCTCCCTGAGATAGTAGGCTGTGAAAAGCAGGGGAGGAGCTCTGAGTGGCTTTATTGAAAAGGTGGGTCACAGGACCCAGAGAGAAGGTGTGCGTGTGTGCATGTGCGTGTGTGTGTGTGTGTGTGTGGAGAGAGAGAGAGAGAGGGTCAGCAGTGGGAAGGATGTGTGTGTGTGTGTGTGTGTGTGTCTGTGTTTGCAGAGATGTAGGAAATAAATAAGCAACATGGGACCGAAAGAGAGGAAGCCGGTGTGGTTATGAGGGTAGAAGGAGCACTGAACTGAGAGTCAGGAGACGTGGGCTACCATCCCTGCTGGGTGACGGACTTCCTATGTGACCTAAAGGTGTAATTTATCCTCCGGGGCCTCAGATTGTTCATCTAATAACATTTATACCACAGTTTAAATCTGTGAGCACTTTCACTGTTTGATCTTCCTAACTGTCCTATGAGGGAAGTGTTAAGGTTCAGAAAGGGGCAGTGACATGCCCCCCGTCACACAGCAAGTGTGTAATCAAGCTGACGGACTCAGATATTCCGGGCCCCTGCCTGGGAGAGCACATCTGGTGGGTTCTCTTTCGCCTATCTGGTCCAGATGACATCCTTCCTAGAGCCAGAGAGAAGGAGGCACGAAGCAGGATCTTTGGGCTGGAGCCTCCCGGGACTGACAAAGCGCTGGTTGGTCTGCCAGGTCCAGACCTGTTCTGCCTTTTCCATGGGAAGAGATATGCGCCCGGTGAAAGCTGGCATCCCTACCTGGAACCACAGGGCCTGATGTACTGCCTGCGCTGTACCTGCTCAGAAGTAAGTTCCTCTGGCCCCTTGGCCACCTGTGACAGGTGGGGCACCCCAGAGGGAGGGTGGGGCCGCGCCTCTTCACCAGTGAGTACTCAATGCGCGGGGGCCCCTGTGCACCTGCCAGAGATAAGACACACCGCGGGGCAGTGGCTGGACCGGGCTGGGGAGCTGGGCCCTCCATCTTTCAGCCGGCCTTCCTTCCACCTTTGCTGCTGCTGGCCTCGCCTATGTCCCAGGACAAGAGCCTCTCTGTCCTGACCTCCCATTCCTTCCTCTCCTTGGGCCCTTTCCTCCAGCCACCTCTCTTGCCGCCCGGCCTTAGGATATGTTCTCCCAACGCCACTGGCTCAAATATTGGTTCTTTAAGCCTTCACCCGAATGCAACCCCTTACCCCCAACAGCCTTATTTGATGCCTCACCTGCAAGGGTGTCTTCTTCTGGGATGCCACATAAGTTTCTCCGTCCCTTCCTCCTGATCACTGTTGGCCAAGGATGATACTTTTCTGTGCCTGTCCATTACTGCCCCTCCTAGATGGAGCCCCTGAGAGCAGATCTTCCTGGGCGCTCACTCAGGCCCAGTTTGGTGTCCTGCCAGAGGCTGACCTACCAGAGGGGCAGAGACCAGATCTTCTTCTTCTTTTTTTTTAAAGATTTTATTTATTTGGGCGCCTGGGTGGCTCAGTCGTTAAGCGTCTGCCTTTGGCTCAGGTCATGATCCCAGGATACTGGGATCGAGTCCCACATCGGGCTCCCTGCTCGGCGGGAAGCCTGCTTCTCCCTCTCCCACTCCCCCTGCTTGTGTTCCCTCTCTCATTGTCTCTATCTCTGTCAAATAAATAAATAAAATCTTTTTTTTTAAAGATTTCACCTATTTTTCAACAGAGAGAGAGAGACAGCGAGAGAGGGAACACAAGCAGGGGGAGTGGGAGGGGGAGAAGCAGGCTCCCTGCTGAGCCAGGAGCCCAATGTGGGGCTTGATCCCAGGACCCTGGGATCATGACCAGAGCCAAAGGCAGACGCTTAACTGACTGAGCCACCCAGGCACCCCAGACCAGATCTTCCTGTTCACCTCTGTCTCCCCCAATCCCACCCCAGCACCCTCCACAGAGCCTTGTACTACCAACTAGGTGGAATAAATAAGACCCCCATGTGGTCCAGAATTCTCAGGCCAGGTATGAGGGTGGAGGGGTGAGGATGGAGGGGGAGTGATTTGGGAGGCTTGCAACACCCTTAGCTCTACTTCAGCTGCCTGGGGCCCAGCCTGGTTGGTGTGAGATCCTTGGCTCTTTCTGTCTGGGTGCTGGTGCTGGGGTGGGGTGGAGGGGAGGGGAGCGGAGACAGGGTACCTACCCGGAACCAGCCCCTTGGTGCCTGTCTTTCCCTGCACAAAGCCAAGAGAGGAATGCGGGGGGCCTGTAAGAGTCTCCCTCGTTAAGACAATACTCAAAGTGGGAGCAGAGAAGAGCTTCTGAAAGACACTGGGAAGTGGGGGGTGGGTGACCAGTCCCCCTCTTGACTCTGATCACTAGAGTCTCATTCCTCCTGGGAAGTTTCCCTCTGATTCCCCACTCCTTCTCCCATGTTGGCCCGAGGCAGAACACTGGTTCCAGCGTGGACACAGCCCCCCACAACCGCCTCCCCTTGGTTCTCCTTAGCACATATGAGGCCAGTCAGCCTTTACAAAAAGAACTTTATGAAATATAGCCAGACAGCAGAAAGAAAACCATAACAGAAAATTCCAGACATATCATGTGGTCCAGCTGACAAAGTCCCAGTTTTGTGATCCACTGGAGTTAATTCATTTCTCCCTCCCCAGAGTTCACACATGCAGCATTTCCCCAACCCAAGCGACTGTGCGGGTATCTCCAAAACATACCCGGAATCCCTCCACTTCTCTCCACCATCACCGCTCCCCTAATGAAAGCCACCTTCATCTCTCCCTGGGCTGCTACATCAGCCTCCCAACGGGTCTCCCTGTTCCCTCTCTAAGTCCATCTTCCACACAGCAGCTAGAATGATCTTTTCTGCACATAAAACTGATGGCGTTATTCTACTCTTAAAACCTTCTAATAGTTTTTCGTTGCACCTAAAGTAAAATTCAAATTTCCTGCGTTGGGCTCTGCAGGAGCTACCTTCTGCCTTTTTCTCAGACCTCGTCTCCTACCTGCACCAACACTTCAGCCTCAGTCCTACCTGGTTGTTCCTCCATCTGGATGTTTTCCCCCACGAGATCTTCTCACAGATGGTCCCTCCTACTTGCAGTTCATCACATACTTGTGACCCCTTATGAGGTTTCTTTGACAGCTGTTATTAAAATAGTCTTTGTTAACTCGATCACATCACCCTGCTTTATTATTATCATAAATTTAACATTTGAAATGATCTTGTTCCTACTTGTTTATTGTTTATCATCTGTCTCCTGCTCCTAGGATGCACGTTCTGTGAGGGCAGAAACCGTGTTGGTCTCACTGCTATGTCCCTAGAGCTTAGAAGAGGGCCTGGCACCCAGCAGTCACGCAAGAGATACTGAATGAATGAAGGAGTCCCCACCCCAGCCACCAGAGGTGGCTCAGCATCAGGGAAAGTACCCAGATCCAGGAGACAGTGCTCATCAGTTGTGTGATCTTAGGCAACTCAACTTCTAGGACAGAGGCTCTTTCCGCATTGTGGAAGTGTGGATAGCTGTACCTACCCTGAGGATTGCTGAGAAGATGAAGGGACGTCATATATTTATATATAAGATAAAGCCCCTACCTAGTAGCCACTCAGCACATGGTAGTTATGACTTCCCTGGCTGCAAGGCCTGGTCACCTGCCCATCCAACCCTTTGCCTGTCTCCACCTTATTTCTGGCTATAGGTTGCTGATCGTCTCCATCCCTTGGCTCCTCCAGGGCCAGAATCAAGAAAGAGATCCTAACTCTTCAGGTCACACAGTTCCTTGAACTCCACCCTAGTTACTCATCTGAGGGGCTCAGTTCACCCTCTAGACATTCTAAGTACCCAGGAGCGCCAGGCCTCTAGAAGGCCTAGTTCTGTGGACTCTGGGATGCCCCTTAGTGTTGTTGAGTCCTTGTGAGCTGGCCATCTTGTGGAGCAGTGACCCCAGAGGGGCTGGGGGCTGGTCCAGGGTTTTCCGTGGGGCAAGAGGTGCTGTGGGGAAACTCAGTGGGCAGGGGGGCTGGAAGCAAACCTGCCAACTTCCCAGGTGGACAAAGCTGGCTCCATTCATCTAACCAAGAGGCCCTCTAGCACTCCTCTCCTGGCTCTCATTCATTCACTCCCTCCTTCATCCAGACCGGAACAGGCACTGTTGGAGGGCACCTGTTGGAGCAGGGCCCTGAGCTGATGATTCAGAGATGAACAGACCAGGCCTGGCCCTTGTTCTTGGGAATCCATGGCTGAAAAGACAAGACCGATGTAAATGGTTCATTACAACACGGAGGGAGAGTAAGGTGTGGGATGCCTAGGTCGGGCCGACAGACCAAGGGGCGGTGGCCTCTCTCTCTTCAGCTCCTCTGTGTCTGCTCATCCCCTTCTCTCTCTCTCTCTGTTTCTCTGCCCCATTCTCTTCCATTTGCTGTACATGGAAAAGCCTAAGGACTCTGGGCCCCTCCTTTGCTGGTGCTAGCTCCAAAGCTTCACGTGACGTTACCCAAACCTCCCAGAGATTCAGGGAGTGGATCATGAAGCCCTGAGCCTTCTCCACATCAAGTTTCTAGTCGTGTCCCCATCCCTGTCACTTGCCCCCTCTTAACCGTGAAGCTCGGGCCCAGAGGGAAAAGAAGGAACTCCCCAAGTTAAAACAACAACAGTGAAGATCAACATCAGAATAACTCCAGCCTTTTACTCGTATTTCTCAAACACCAGGAAGGGGACACAGGTCTGTGCAAACCCATGCACACTGCACCCTCCTCTGTGCTGGGGTGTGCGAGCAGGGGAAGGGGAGGGACTGGGCAAAGTGAGTTGATTGCTTTTCTCCCGCCACAGGCATAAAACGAGTGTAGTGTCCCACAGCCTGGAGGGGGTTTGGGGAGAGGACGGGTTCAGGTAGGAGGCAATGGTTCTTTGGAATCAGGACCCCCCCGCCCCGTGTCCCCTGCAGAGTGCCCATGTGAGTTGTTACCGCCTCCACTGCCCTCCTGTCCACTGTCCCCAGCCTGTGACAGAGCCACAGCAGTGCTGTCCCCGGTGTGTGGGTAAGTAGCCTCCTTCCTCTCCCTTGCCCACTGACCCTCATCCCCATCCCAGTGTGGGCTTCTGGCTGAGGGGGGCCCCTGGAATGAGAGGGGGCAGACTCTAGCCGTCAGAGGTTTGGAGGCGGCAAAGGTACTCCGGGGAAGAAACATCGTGGATCCCCAGGAGGGCTGGGGTAGCAGCAAATGTCTCATTCCGAAGTAGCTGGACTTGGCAGGAGGAGGGAGAAAATGTGGAAAGTGGCTGAAGGAAACAGGGGTGTGGTTGACCCGTGGATGGCACACTTGGGCCCCAATCCCTCTCTGGCTGGCCAGAGCTAGAGGGAGTGGACATGCCGTGTGTCACTGGATGAGTGAGCAGGGGCTGGGAGGCCTTGTAGGGAGAGGCCAGGACCACCGCCCTGGGGCTGGGAAATGACCAAAGGAGTTGAAGCACGTGGACTCGGAGATTCCTGGTGGTGCTGAGGTTCAGGCATTCTCTGTGTCTTGACGCTTTTAAATGCCTATGATTCTATGATTTTAAGATTCTAAGGGCCTCTGAGACTGGGATTCTAGGAAGTAAAGGTAAAAGAGAGGAGAGGAGAGGCGGTCTGAGAAGGCATTGGCATAACCAAGTGTATATGTAACCAAATGGCCGAGGGGCAGCCAGTGGGGAGACCAACCCAAGAGGCGAGGAGATGTTGAGAGGAGAACCAATGCTTAGAAGCATCGGGAAGGTGATAGAACGGGGCTCCACAGTGTGGTCTCCAGGCTCTGCAACCAGGGCTCTCCTGGTGAACTGGGGACCTGTGTGTGGAGTATGTGTGTAAAGGGGCTCATTTTCCATGGGGGACCCCAGCAGGGATCTCACCATGGCTCTGACCTGGGTCATAGATATTCTTGGCTCTGGGTCCCCTTGGGGAGCAGAGGCTCTGAGCTTCATCCTGCCCGGTGAGGGGGGCATCATGTCTCCTCCTTGGCAGAGGCTCACTCCAGGAGGCCTTACCTCCCCTTGCTTTGTGCCTTGGCCCCTTCCTCTTTACATGTTCCTCTCTCCTTCTCCCTGCCCCTGCCCTGCCCCTTTGCGCTCCTGGCTCAACGGTTCTTCAGGACTCGGCTCAGCCATCAGCTCCTTCGGGAAGCCTTCCCTGCACAACCCCCAGCTCCCACCCCCGGCTGAGTTAAGGGCTCCTTATCTGTGCCCCCATCCGCCCTAGCCTTACCATACCAGTGTCACTGCTTGTAGAGAATCCTTCTACCCAATTACATTGTGAGTTTCTTGGTGGGAGGGGCTGGGTCTTACTGGGCATTCCCTTCCCAATGCCTAGCTTGTCGCCTGCTACAGAGAAGGTGCTTAGTAAAGGTGTCTTGAGAGAACGAGTGGGTTCTCTCAGGACTGGAGACTTATACCCCACTACCTGGCAGGATGAGGACTGGCTAATTGGCAGGTGCTGAGGAGTAGGGCTGCGGTGGCCAGTGAATGATGGAGCTTACACCAAGCACAGGGACAGTCTAGATCATTCCAGCTGACATCACTAGGATCTAACTCTGCGTGGGACCTTGTTTTGTTCACTGCTGTCTCCCCACCACCTAGAACAGGCCTGGCACTAGAGGGGATTCATGGATATGCTCACTGAATGGGGAATGAACTAACGCAGGTCCCCACCAAATGGGGCTCAGTGGAGCTGAGGCTTCTGGCCTTGCCTTCTTGCTCTTGTGAGGGCCAGCTCAGACACTGAGGGGCTGAAAGGCCATGATGGGGACCCATGAGAGGGAGTGACATGGTCAGATGTAGGTATCAGCGAGACCTCTCGATTAGCTCATACGGAGACTGGCTGGGAAGGCTGAGGCCAGAACTTGGTTTAAATGCCTAGACAGGATAAGATGCAGAATCTTCAGGAAAGTGGCCCAGTGAATTTTGACAAACTTTTGGAGCAATGTGAAACTTCATTTTCTTCTTCCTCTTGCCCCCCCCCCGCCGCAGAACCTCACACCCCCTCTGGGCTCCGGGCCCCCGCAAAGTACTGCCAGCACAATGGGACCATGTACCAACACGGAGAGATCTTCAGTGCCCACGAGCTGCTCCCGTCCCGCCTGCCCAACCAGTGTGTCCTCTGCAGCTGTACCGTAAGACCTTCCCCCTCCCTTTAGCCCAGGCCAGCAAAGCACAGCGGTGTGGTCTGGGGGGACAGTGTTCCTCCTGGTCAAAGCAAAGTGAGAGTGAATGGGCTCCGGGGGAAGGGAACATGTGGGGTTTGGAATGTCCTGCCCGTCTCTGGCCTTCCTCATCCCCCTGAGCTGCCTGTTACAACATACTTACCTCGTGTACTCACATTTGCCCATTTCTGGGTTCTCCAGTAGACTCTGCACTCCTCAAATGGAGGGAACATGCCCAATTCATTTTTGTATCTTTTGCTGCTACTGGCCCAGGGCCTGGCACACAGATGTCTATAATGATTGCTGAATGAATAAGAGAATGAGTGAATGATCAGTCCTGGGGTTCAGAGACAGGGTCAGACGGCTTGTTGCAAATGGATTTAATCTGAAGTCGCTTAAACTCCTCCTGCTGTGGTCAGAGTTGGACCTAGGCACAGGCAGAATTGACCCTGCAGTGTTACCAGGGGACAGAGACTGAAGCCAAGCAGGGCCTGATCTAGAAAGTCTTCACCCTCCTCCTCGGTGGGCTCCAGTGTGGCCCTGCTTTAGGCTGACAGGTGGCTTTCAGCCTGTCATTCTTACCCTGGGGCTTAGCTCATCTGTGCATTGGCAGGAGAAACTCCTGCTCTCCTGATCTCCACACCACCTGCTCATCAAACTTCTCCGGGCCTCTGTTCCTCTGTGCTAATCTGAGTTAGCAGTGACATCAGGGTAAGAGGCCTAGATTAGATGCCAGACACCCATGTTTGAGCCATGCTTCCCTGTGTGACCTTGATCAAGTCACTTCTCTGGGGCCTGCGTCCCCATCTTTTCAGCGAGAGGATCCTATCCGTCTGAGATTCTGAATCTTCAAGTATCTGTGCTGCAGAGCGAATAATTTACAAATAATAAAGAGTGACCACTTAGAAATCAACATAGCAATTATTTTTTACAGAGCTTGAGCCTCTTCCGGCAGTCTAATCATATTGTACCTGCCTGTTCACAGAGGTGCCTTGTATTTATATACAGCACTCCAAAGGCCCTAAGAGCAGGAAATCACTGTTCTTATTTTTCAGATGAGGAAACTGAGGCTCAGATCAGTTAAGCAACTTGCCTAAGGTCACACAGCTAGTTAAATGGCCAAGCCAGAATTCAGAGGCAGGACCACATGACTCCAAAATTCGTGTTTCCTTCTTCCCTGTATTGCACTACTTCCTGTAAAGGGACAAGGGCCCGGATGAGGAGGAGTCTGTGGGACGAGACAGAAGTGCTGGCGTGGCGGTAGGGTGGTGAGAACATTCTTGTGATTCCTTGTCCTGTCTCCTTGGATCCCGGGGTCTCCCCTTCTTTCTCCTCCTCCTTGTTTAAATGGGACTGGCATGACTCCTGGCCCACTTCTGAGGCTCATGGGAAAAGGCAGAGGGAAAGGACTCGAGGTGATACCACTGTCTGCCAGGTACATCGTGCCTTCCAGTTTAAAAAGGGTTTTTCCAACCACTCCCTCATCTGCTCTTCACAACCCAGATGGGAGTGCTCCCATTTCACAGAGGAGGAAAGTGAGGCGCAGAGAAGAGAAGTGACTCACCAGAGGTCATCTGGCTTCTGATTCCCAGAAGGCCCTTCCCTCTGCAGTGTTGCCTCTCCAGGCTGGTCCTGAAGCTGGGGACCTAGGGTTTTCAGTAAGAGCACGATGAGCCCAACATGTGTCCCATTGATCCCCGTCCTCTCTCTGGGCCCCCTGTCCCAGGCCAGGGGAGGAGGGCGTTCTTCAGCAGGAAAAGCCTGCAGGCTGGGCTCTAGTCCACTCTGCTGGGCTGCATTTCTGATTTCGGGCAGTTCAGGCCCCCTTCAGGTCCTCCTCATCTGTAGGATGGAAGAACCCCACCTCACCGGTTTGCTGTGAGAGCCTAGGGAGAGACAGGGTCTGAAAACGCTTTAGAAGCTCAAGGATGAATGTTACCTCAGGGCCTGGGGAGGGAATGGGAAGGGTACAGGGGACGCCTCCTCTGAGCTGGCTGGGCCTTGCCCAGGATGCTCTGCTGCTCCCTTCTTCTCCCACCTCAAGGCCATTTGCCCCCAGGACAAGGGGCTCTCCTAACCCCAAGGCTGCTCCTCATCGGAGCTCATCTCCCGTTTGCTCTGTCAGGAAGGCCAGATCTACTGTGGTCTCATGACCTGCCCAGAACCAGGCTGCCCCACACCTCTCCCACTGCCTGCATCCTGCTGCCAGGCCTGCAAAGGTGAGTCTGTCCCTAGATCTGGCAGTGCCCACTCACCCCACCCCAGGGACCTAGCCAGGGACTATTAGAGGTGGGGGAACCTCAGCCAGTGAAGGGCAAATGGCTTGAGCAGAATCAAGTGCACAGATGGTCAGACTGTACCCTGTGGGTTGGGGTAGTTCAGGAAAGCTTCCTGGAGGAGGCAGGACTGGGGAAGGGAGTGCTTCATAGTAGAATGCTTCTCTAGACGTTGGCATTGTGGAAGGGCACTGGACCGGGGGCCAGGTGACTCCAGTTTAGTCTTGGTTCGTCCAGCTAATTCCTGCAGATTCCTTCCCCTCTTTGGGCCTCAGCTGTGTTTTATGTGCACTGAGAGGCTGGCCTCGGACTGTCTGATCCCAGCGTCCTTGGTCTTTGAACCAGGAATGCTCGGAGGGAGCCAGGCTGTATGTGAGGTGAGGGCTGAAGAGAGAGAATCCCCCTCAGGGCCTTGTGTGCTGGCACCCCACGGGGTGGAAGACAGAGTCCTAGGGTCCTCCAACTGGAAGGACCGAGGTGCCTGAGTGGATAGTATAGACCAAGGCCTGGTGACCTCAAGTGTGGCTGGACAGGGTGGCTCCCCAGGGGCTGCAACTAAGCAAGGCGGCAGGGATGGGATGCTGGGCCTTTGGGCATCCATGATGGGCACTGAATAAGATGCTCCAGCCCAGCCAAGAAGTTCAGTCCTAACGGTGACCATGAGGTCAGTGTGGGGAAACTGAGGCAGCAACCCAGTTGTAGGGAATTTGTCAACCCAAGGGTAAGGACAGGTTGTAATGGGAAGTGGGAATAAGGCGCCACTGGGGCAGAGGGCCCTGCTGGTGTGCAGGGACTGCAGAAGTGGCACTAGGCCTGGGAGGCTGAAGGCCTGCAGGGCTCCAGTCAGCAAGGCAGAGGAGATGGAGGCTGACCCAACTTCCCTTTGGGTTTCCAGATGGGTCAAGTGAGAGATCAGCCGAAGAGGACACCACGCAGTCACAGCCTGGGCTGGTGAGTGCACAGCTTTACTGACAGGGTGCGGAGAGGTGGTGAGGGCAGCTGGTAGCCCCGGCCTCGAGCCCCGGACTCTGGGGCAGTCAGTACCAGTTACTGTCCTCACTTCTCATTTGTCCCCTAGGTTGGCAACACGAGCTCCACCCTGTTCCAGCCCCTTTCTTTCCCTAGCCTCATGGCTGCTGGGTCCACAGGGGTCTGGGAAAAAGTACCAAGCCATACAAGAGCAGGCCCCGAACTTCCCCATTTCCCTCCTGAGAAACACTGTCACGCTGTTCTCTCCAAAGCCTGTGTCTGTCCTTAGTTCAGGCTGCCTCTGGGCAGCACATTCCCCTCCGAGGGAATGGCCTCTGTCTTGGCCCAGCCGTCCCCACCCAGCCCCTGAGGTACTGGTTCTTTGTTTGGGGGCTACCTCTCTGTCCTCCCCTCTGTCTTGGCCCCTCTCCATCTTAGTCTGGACTTAGGATGAGCTAAACTGCCCAGCTTTCTCTGGTCAGAGAGGAAAGAGGTAGGAGGATGGGCTTACACACTGACTCAAGTCCCCATCCCCACTCTGTGCTATGTCTACAATGGGAACAACTCCACCTCCTCTTTCAGCCTGGGTCACCTGGGCCCCGGGGGACTGGAGGCTGGCTGGCCTCCCGTGCTCAGGGACTCCCCAGGGGTCTGAACTAGCAAGCTCCCCCTTTTCCTCTGCCATTCCATCCTCTCCCTAGGAGGCAGTGTGCTAAGCGAAGCTCACCCAGGCTCAGTTCCAGGCCCTGAGCAGCTACTTACTGGATGACGTGAGCAAGTCCCATTAAAGGGCTGGGCTCCTCGATTCCATCTTGCCACTATTCCACTCGACAGGCATTTCCTGGGAGCCTCCTATGTACCTGGGCCTCTTCTGGGGCCTGAGATAGTTTCCTGGGTGCTCTTGTGGGGTCAGTCTGGCCAGTCTCTGACTCAGACACTATCTGAGCAGGAAGGGGCTGTAGGAGAAGGAATATGAGTGACTCGGTATCAGCGAGGGGGGTAATAAGCCCACTTGTTCCTCTGCCATGGCCTGGAGCTGCCTGGTCCTCTAACTATAAGCTATGATGCCCCTGCCCCATTATACCACCCTCACCATAGACCCTTTTCTATCACTGCCAGTCTGCCCAAGGCCTGGTCTAGAGGGGCAGGGTCTCAGGATCTTGGATTCCAGGGGCTCAAGAAAGGGGGCTCTGGAGACCCAGGGTGTCCAGATGGGGCCTGCTCTTAGTCTTCCGCCCTGTGAAGATTCTGGGGCCTGGTGAGACCTTCAGAGGCCCATCCTCTTCTCCCATCACCTAAATCTCCTGACTCTCATCCTCACCACAGCCTCACCTTCCATTTCTTAAATAGGAAGTTTCCTAGGTCCCTGATCGCTGTGTCTCCCAGATCAAGACCTCAGTACCTTTGTTCACTCTGACGGGCCTGAGAAGGGCTTGGTGGAGGCAGGATTTCCAAACCACCGTTCTGAGAGTTTTCAAAGATCCATTGTCTGAGAACGTCTTAGGCCGCATCCAGATCTTTCCATCCCTGACATGTGCCTCTCTTTACTGGGAAGTCCTGGTGGCGTCTAGCTGCAGGCCTCACTGCAGCCCCTGTCTTGCGCTCCCCTGCTGGCACTGGCCCATCAGTGATCCCCACCCTTCCTGCCATTTGCAGAGACGTTCCCAGGATCCGTGTTCAGGGGACAGTGGGAGAAAGAGAGGCCTGGGCACCCCAGCCCCCACTGGCCTCAGCTCTCCTCTGGGCTTCATCCCTCGCCACTTCCGACCGAAGGGGCCAGGCAGCACGACAGTCAAGATTGTCCTGAAGGAGAAACATAAGAAAGGTGGGGATGGGAAACCCCTCTGATACCTGAGGTGGGAAAAGGGGGCCCCCGACTGCCCCCGCCTCCCATCTCTGCACCCCCCACTCAGTGCCCTGACCTCAACTTGCCCAGGAGCTTGTAGATTCATAAAGCATCAAAACTGAAGGCGTCCTGAAAGGGCACCGAAGTTCAGAGTACCGAGTGAGACAGAACCAGCCCTAGAACCAAGACCATGGGGCAGCATGACAATATTGTCTGAGCCTCTGCCATGTCTTTGCTGGGAATCAAGGGGCACAGAACAGAAAGATGAAAAATGGTCCCTGTCCTCTAGGGGCTCCAGACATGTAAATAAATACTACGATAGAAGGAAGGGTGAGAGAAAGTTGTGGACAAAGCAAGGAGGGAGCAGAGGAGGCTTCGGGCAGGTGGTCAGGATGCAGCAGGGAAGGAGCAGGGGAAGGGGAGGAAAGCAGGCTCCGTGCAGGACTCCCACTGGTGTGGCGGGCACAGCTGGGGAGGTACCTGCTGCGGCCCCTTTGGGACAGACGGGACACTGAGGCTAAGAAAGGGGAAGGGACCTGCCCGAGCTCACACCGCCAGAGGTATGAACTGGGTCTCAGTGCTCCCCCTGCCAGAGGTGCCTGTGAAGGGCAGGGGGAGGATTCTCTATCTTCAGCAAGAACGTATTGGGCACGGGTCAGCCCTGAGTGCTGAAACGGGAGAAGTCAGGGACAGGGGACCAGTTTTATACCCGGCCTCCACTTTGCAGGCCATGTGGCTGGGCCAGACCGCTGGAGCAGGGCCTCCCCGAGTTCCCGCCCCCACCCACTCCTGGACTCTGGCCCAGGTCTGCAGCACTGACCCTCCTCCCTTCCCGCCCTCCTTGGCCCAGCCTGCGTGCACAGTGGGAAGACGTACTCCCATGGGGAGGTGTGGCACCCAGCTTTCCGCTCCTTTGGACCCCTGCCCTGCATCTTGTGCACCTGTCAGGACGGCCGCCAGGACTGCCAGCGGGTGACCTGCCCCACTGAGTACCCCTGCCATCGCCCTGAGAAAGTGGCCGGGAAGTGCTGCAAGATCTGCCCAGGTACGAAGAGGATGCTGGGGGCTGGGAGGGCACTGGCCACAGTGGGCCCAGGGTCCCTCTCCCCAGGGCACAGGTACTTGGAACATCTCCGACACGGATGGGGCATGGACTCAGAGCCACAGGCTGCAGGAGTTTTAGATGCACTGGAGTGGAAAATGCCCGGCTCACAAAATATTTGCCTTAGAGAACATCTAAGGCTCTAGTGGGTCGATTCAGAGACTCTCGCACATATACACAGAATCAATCAAATAATGTTCCGGATTCTATGAAATCATAAGATCGTGGGATATTAGGACTTTGGGGAGGGGGGAAGAGCCAATATTTATTGAGCACTTACCATGTGCCACGTAGGTATTTTGCATGCATGAATTCACGGACTCCTCACAACACACAGACAGGGCAGGACTATTTTTCTCCATTTCACAGACCAAGAGAAGATAAGTACCTTGTCCAAGGTCACACAGCTCGAATGGCAGCTGGAGTCTGAGCCCCGGACTGTCTTGCTCCACAGACAGTGCTCTTGACCACTGCTGTCGTCCTTCAACCCTCACGTACCTGTGGGAAAAGGGAAGGGATTTTCCTAAGTCCCACAGCAAAGTGGCGGGGGAACCGGAGTTAGAACGCAGGCTTCCAGGGCGCCTGGGTGGCTCAGATGGTTAAGCGTCTGCCTTCGGCTCAGGTCATGATCCTGGAGTCCCTGGATCGAGTCCCACATCGGGCTCTCTGCTCCTTGGGAGCCTGCTTCTCCCTCTGCCTCTCTCTCTCATGAAAAAATAAATAAAATCTTTAAAAAAAAAAAAAAAAAAAAAAGAACGCAGGCTTCCAGACTAGCCAGCTGAGTTCTTCCAGCACTGTTGTGTGAGCCTAGGATTAGTGAGCGTGCAGAAGCAAACATCAGAGTATCTCGTGGGAAGAACAGCCTGTGGTTGGCAGCAGGAGCTGTCGTGAGGAGCAGGCCCCTTCCCTCAAGGCTGAGCAGGTGGGGTAGAAGGCGCCGGCTGATTAGCCAGCCGGGTCGGCAAAACCAAAGGGAGAGGAATAAGGAAGAAAAAAGGGGAAGGAAACATGCACCGAGAACCTTCTAGTGCCAGGTATGTTACTGTGATTTCACATAGTTCATGTACTCCTCACCTCTCAGATAGCTTACAAATGAAATGACAGAGCGGCTGCAATCATCCTAAGTCTCCACCTACCCCAGGCTTTAACGTCAGGAAGGGTGCATCCACTTTAGCTCGCTTACCAACTGACTTCCTAACTTACTCTCATGAGCTTAGACAAGTGATTTTCCTTTCTCGAGCCTCAGACAGAGTTGAGGGAAAATGTTTCATAAATTGTAAATCAAAATCCAAACATAAGGGATAGGGTCGGAGTAATATGCTACTGGGAAAGGGTCAGAGAGGGAGCATGACGGGGTGGTACCGGAAACACATGAGCGGTAGGGGTTCACCTTGAAGTCTCTGGAGCCTGGCTGTAGCTCACTACTAGGCTCCTTCACAAACACAGACCTCCGTCCATTTTCCCTTAAAAATACTGAGACTGTAGCCTTACAACTCTTAGCGGGACATCTCAAAGGGCTTCATAACTAGTAAGAGTTTCGAAGGAAGTGTGTATGTGTAGGGACTTAGTCCTTCAGTCCCTGAAAAATAGGGAATGTTGGTACGTGGAAAATTCTGGAGAATGTCCTTGGAATTCCAGCATGTTGAGGCTTTAGGACTGGATCCAATTTGGGACCAAAACCCATCACCACTATCACCATCATCCCCCCCCCCCCCCAAAACCCAGCGCACTACTACAGTGGGATCATCATCCCCTCCACCACCTCTCCCACCATCAACAACCATGATCTTCATTGTTGCCATGATCACCTCACTCCTCCCACAACTTTCATTCTGTGTATGTTCATGAGAGCCTGTGCTTGGTGGTGTGGATGACTCAAAAGACAGCCTGTCCTTCACCCGTAGGTCGCTTGTAAGAGAAAAACATACCCGAGGGAGACAATTACAAGGCAATGCAAGGTAGTGAGACCAAGGGCACGAGTGGGAGGCATAAGCAAGAAGGGTTTTAAAGGCTGTGAGTGGGAAGAAGCAGGGTAAGCTACGCTGTTCCAAGTGGGCTGCCTGGAGGAGGTGGAAGAGGAGTGGGGTACAAAAGGATGAGAAGTTTTCTGATATGCTGATCAATGGGAGGTGAACGGGAGAGGCGGCCCCTCTCTCTGGTACCAGGGCACCAGAACTTTCCCAAGGACCTTAAAGACCTGAGGGGGAAGTCAGACTAGCGGCCTGGCTCCCTGGGCCTACCAGGCAGGGGTGGGGGTGGGGGTCAGAGTGTTCACGAGCTCCTTGTCTTCCCCAGAGGACAAGGCAGACCCTGGCCCCAGTGACATCAGGGCCACCAGGTGTCCGAAGGTGCCAGGCCGGGTCTTCGTCCACACGTCAGTAGCTCCAAGCCCAGACAACCTACATCGCTTTGCCCTGGAGCATGAGGCCTCTGAGCAGGTGGAGGTCTACCTCTGGAAGCTGGTAAAAGGTGAGCATTGGCCTACTCCCAGCCGGGCTTACCTCTGGCCTGTCCCCCTCACCAGGGGCCTTAGGGGCATTTTGTGGATCAAAGGCCTCTAGCCCAGGAAGACCTGCCTCTGGCTACCCTTCTAGATTTAAGTCTCCAATTCCAAGATAGAGGGAGACAGAAATTCAGTCTGTGATTCTCTGACAGTTCTGATAAGCTCATCCATGGGGTGATGCCAGGGCCTCGAAGTGCTCCCTCTTCTGGGAGGAAGGGGTTGTTGCACTTGCGAGGAGCCAGGAAGGGTAATGCCTATGCAAAAGCGTATTTTGAAGCAAAAGGCATTTTGAGGCAAAAGGCATGTCTACTGGTAGAACGTCAGCACGCTATGAGGGGAGAGCTTCTCAGGCAGAAGGGCCTTCACGGCATCCTCAAAGCAGGAGGGCCTGGAGACTAGTCTCATTCAGCCTTTTCTGTGTGGTGGATTCTATCCCTCCAATAAGTGGACGTCAGAACATAGTTCTCATTCTGTGCGAAACTCACCAGATGCAACAGGATGCTCAGATCACCAGCGGAAGGTCAAGAGGAGTTGTCATTGAGAAGGGAATTGCTGAGAGTTGGGCTTTTTGGCTCTTCTTGCCTAACATAGATCCCCGGGGTAGAGTAAAACAAACTAAACCCTTTAAGTGTGAATTAGCTGTGAGGTCACTGTTCTCTCCCGATGGGTCTGGCTGGAGTGGGCAGGGGTGGAAGAGGGGATGGTCATGATAATGATAACCAGCGTGTGGAGCACTTTAGAGTTTACAAAGTGCTTCACACTCATTATCTCATTTGATTCTCAACGATCCTGAGAGTTAGGTATTATTATCCCCATTTTACAGATGAGGAAACTGAGGCTCAGAGAGGTGAAGTACCTGGCCCAAGGCCACACAGCCAGTAAGTGGAGGACGGGAGCTAGAGCCCATGTCTTGTGACGTCAGATGCGGCTCTTTCCCTGCTCTACTCTGCCTCCTGTCCTAGGAGGAATGGACGAAGAAAGCGGAGCCGTTCAGCCTGGAGAAGAGAAGACTCAGGGGGACAGGACCATTGGCTTCCTGGCTCTGAAGGACTGCCCCAGGCAGGGGGAGCGGTTGTGTTCTGAGTGACTACAAGGGTCAAAACGACAAGCAGGGGCTTTGAGAATCAGACAGACCTGAGTTTGAATCCCGGCTCTGCTCTTTCTTAGCTGTGTGGCCTTGGGCAATCACTTGACCTCTCTGGGCCTCAATTTTGTCTTCTGTTAATTGGGAAGGAGGGTTTGGGGAGGATTAAATGAAATAACATGGGTACAGCCCTGACCTACAGTAGGTGCTAACATTAGTATCTTCATCCCACCTCCTCAGTTAGAATTACACAGAAGCATGCTTCCACCAACGAGAGAAAGCACTTTCTCATACCTAGACCCTTTCTGTCAAAGAAGCAGGGAGCAAGCTCAGTTCACAGGGATGTGCAAGCAGCGACTGGGCGGGGGCTCTGCCACAGCCGAGGAGTTAGATTCAGCAGCCCTCATCATTGTTTTGTGCCTGGACAGGTGCTGGTTTCCTCCAGACCCCCCACCAACCTCACCAGGTACTGGGACCACAGAGAGTAATAGGTCCCAGTCTCTGTCCGTGGGAGCCCAGGACTTAGTGACTTGGATGCAGTAGGAGCTCCCGGGGAGCTGAGCTGGTCAGGCTGGAAGGCTTCGTGGAGGAGGGGCCTGCAGCTGGACAGGCGTTAGGAAGGCAAGAGGAGCGCTTTGCAGGCAAGGAAGGGTGGCAGCGACAGCCTCAGACTGGCCCCGGAGCCTCTGCTTCCATGCCCTGTGCTCCGCCCCGGGACTGGTGTGTAGTAGCCCCTGCTAAAGTGTTTCATTTCATCCGTAGAAGAAACCTGAGGGATATGCATTCATGACCATCTTGCAGATAAAACTGAGTCTGAGGGGTAAAACGACTTGCTCAAAGTCACACAGTTCAAGCACTCAAGCAAAGATTCAAACCCAGGTCTGAGTTTCCCCAGAGCTGCTTCCACGGAGGCGACCTAATGCTTTCAGAGAGGTGCCTGAGCAAGGCCAAGGTGTGCCCAGGATGGCGCAGACTGGAGCGCTGTAGCTCAAGGCCAATCTCAATACCACCAGGCCCAGCAGAAAAGGAGCAGGTGGTGGGCACTCCTCAACTTCACGGTGCCAGGCCCTACCTTCCTGTCACTGGCAAAAACCCCCTCCCCATCTCCTGCCCCGCTGGGCTGCCTAAGTGCCTCCCTGCCCCACACCGTGGGGGTCAAAGCAAACACTCCCGAGCTCGGACTGTCAGTGGGAAACCCTCTTTCTTCACCCAGAGGAGCGGAATCAGCGGGCCTCGGGGGCAGGGAGAGGAAGGGGAGAACTGGCCTGGAGACACCGACACCCGGACTCGGGCCCCAGAAGCTGACTTACTGTTAAGATCCTTTTCGATTCTGGAGTTTCAGAGTGGAAGGGACCTCAGGGGTCCTGATTCCAGCCCCTGTCTAGGAAGGAAACCCCTTACGGCCTCCCGGATGGTCTCCTGGATGGTCTCCAGCCCCTGACTCCGCATGCCCCCACCCCACCTCCAGTGTGGATGGCTCCACCTAGAAAGGGTTTGTTTTCGCATTGAGCTGAGCCTCACCTGCTGGTACTGTCTCTGCCCTGGGGGTTCACAGAGCCCAGCTGCCCTCAGACCTGGCACACCCTCCAAAGGCATGGCCATGCTCCTCAGGCTGGCTCTTGATTCCAGGTCCAAGAGCTCAGTTCTTAGGATCATGCTTTACAGGCTACAGTGTGAAGACCCTCCCTCGTCCCTGTCACCTCCTCTCCATTTGCGTTCTGGGGTGTGTGCGGTGGCAGGCCTGGGCAGAAGGACTTAGCGCCATCTCAGGCTTGTGATGTAGCCTGGGCCTTTGGAGGGAGTCTCTCCCATATCCTGGTCCTTGGCATCTGGACTGGGGGTCCTGAGAACGATGCTGGACATTCCCAGCCTCCTGGATCTTAGTGCTGACCGTTCTCCTCAGTGGCCTCC